AATTCATCTGTAAGATAATTGAATAGTAATGACCGGTTTTCATTTCACATGTATGGACTAGCTATCCCGGACATGACAGCCTTTAGATTTGTTAATTAAGGTTCGAGTCCTCTAACTAATCACAAACTCATCAAAGCACTATGCCTGTGTATCCTGGACTATAATAATCTAGCTTGGCACTTGACCTTGTCAATTTTAGAACTTGCTTGTTGTAGGCCCAGCCTAGACCATGGCCAGTTCAGAATTGAGAGGGGTGGGTAGGCAGGAAGAGGAACTTCACTCATGCTCACTAGCCAGGCGAGGTAATGACTAATGAGGACGTGAACGCTAGACCAAGTCATAAAATAAACAATCCACCGAAGTAAATTTTATAAAGCCAACATTCAAAATTTAACCAGATAACAAACAAGGCCTAGCACTTGGTAAATAAACTTCTCAATCACTCTATAATGATGATAGGAAACAGAGGTTATATTAACGATAAACTTACTCACCTCTCTGTAAAATGTAAACATTCCGAAGATGAAATTTTGACCTCATGGCCAGGGGTGAGGTCATCGCAAAAGTACGAACAAAATGGCGCTCTCAACTTTCTAGAAAGATCAAGAATGGAAGGAAAGAGAGATTTCTTAGTCAAATTGAAATGATATTAGAGTTATGGCGAATGTGTTCGACAGACTAGTGAACAAAAAGAGTCAAGATGGCAGTTGTGATGTCGTCAGTAATGTTAGGAATTCACAGAATGGTGATGATTTCGAAGGCTTGGCACATGTTGAGCACTCTGCTGAGGAGGAGGCCAAGACTGACGTGTTGTTTAGTGCCTGCCAGAAGGGGACTTCCCCGCTACCGAATTCACCAGTTATTGGGCTTAACAACGAAGGGTCTTCGATAAGCCTTTCAAATATTCGCTCCTCTTTGAAGGCAATACCCACCTCGTCTATTGATAATGAAGAAACATCAGAAGCAACTAAAATTATAATAAATATTAAGAAGAGTAAGTTTAATAAGAAGACAAATTCACCTGCTGATCAGTCGAGAAATGTGCCCAATTTATGTTCAACAAAACCAGAAAATTCAGCTGATGGTTTAAGCGATGTAGAAGTGGTTTCAGTTAAAAAAAGAGCAATTACAAACTCTAATAGATTAGAAAGTGTGAAGAAAAGACAGCCTTATGCACCTTTGAAAAAACCGTTCGTTATTCCACGTAAACTGAAGAACGATAAGGGTAAGTACTGAACAAATGATTATATGGATACAAAACATTTATACAACAGATGTAGGCCTATTATGCAATCAATATTTACGATTCTGCACACTCATTTTTCTATCAAATTCCTTTGCAAATAACAGTTAGTTTTCGATGAATACACCATGCAAATAGAATAATTTATAGTCTGTTAAGCATTTAATACTGTGTAGTACATTATTAACAGTAATATTCATTTTTAGAGACAAATAAGTTAGTTTTATCATTTATTATGTAGTTTTTGATGAGTTGTTAATCGATAATAATTATATTCATTATTAATTTTCTTTCAGAGATATTACAAGAAGTACAATTGGATTCCACAGAGTACTTAAGAGAGATTCATCCAATATTATTACGCCATCACAGAGATAAGATGTCCAAGTACAAGTTTTCTTATGAAGCAGCTTACATCGTAAACAATGAGAAGCTTTTAAATGAGGTGGGTGTCCATCTAGACCAGAGATAGCCAGTGACGAAGAATTTGACTGTCGGGCCACATATGCTCCGCAGGTCGCACTTTCCCCACCTGTGATCCAGACAAATTATATCAGGCATTAGTGCTTTTTTAAAGCCACTTCTCTCAGGAGGAACACCTAAAAAAGAGGATTTCTTTACTTGGTTTATCAGGTTAAAATAGGATTTGGAGCTGAAAAAGCTCATATTTCCTTCCAAGATTGTGGTTCCTGGATGAATATACAGGTAGAAGCGGTTTTGATGCACACACCATGTTTTCTCCAGGATCCGATCCTCTTAAATTGATTAAGGTTTAGGGCCTAGACAGTGGTCTCAGGTAGACTATTCCAATCGTTCACAACTCTGATTGAGAAGAATTTTCTCCTAACATCAACAATGGGTCTCAATTTAATGATTTTCAAAGAATGACCACTCCTTCTGGAAGCAACATCAAGAATTAAAAAATTATTTTTCATGTGCATCACAGCCTCTAATAATTCTGAATGCTTGAATTGAGTCTGCTCTACGCCATCTAAATTTGAGTGAGGGCAGATTATGGTGAATGGAACATGTGTTACAAAAGTTCAAAATAATTATAACAAAATAATGAATTATTCTACATAGGATAAATGTTTATAGCCTAATATTTTGGTTTGACAAATTCATTAATCAAATTATTTTTTCATTTCAGTTCTTAGAAAAGAAAAAGGAAATGAAAGAGGAGGGAAGAAATGAGAAGGAAGTTGCAGATAGCTATGGATTTTATTACTGTGCCAACTTAACTACAGTAAGACATATATAATCAATGACAATTTGTATTATTATATACTTATTATACTTAATATATTTATACTTATTTTATACTTATAACTTATATCTATATACTTATATATACTTTTATATATACTTCTTAGTTTTATTTAGAGCATATGCCAAACAAGCCACTATGTTTCCATATTTCTGCAATCATTAAAAACGTGTAGATTGATGTTTTAGGATGAAAGACTACTAATGCCTTACAGTACTATGAACTTTATGAGGTTGGTTATGATTTCTTTTCTCCAAATAGGCCAAAGGTGTTTCCACTAAAGGTTTGTTTGTAAGAAGTGCATTTGTAAACTGCCTGGGATCTCAAAACATGGGTAAGTACTTTCAACTTTTGCCCTGCTAGTAGGGCTACAACCCCAGACCCCCAGGAACTCTCCTGTAACTCTTACTCATTCTCCAACTCCAAACCTTAATGAAAACTTTGCTTAGTTTTTTTTTCAAAGAAAACAGAACAAAATCCAGCTTGAAAATATGCATTAACAGTCTAAACAAGAGTTGTTGAATACAAGGAAATATTAATTTAAGTTAAGCTATATATAAGCTGTAATTTAGAGGGGAAAATGTATCCTTTAATAAACTGGGTTGACATAAAGTTGATGTTCAAACAACAATTATGCAATGTCTGAAAGTGATTTTTATTTTATTTTTTAATAATCTATTGTTTATTGTTTTATAATTAATGTTCAACATTTATGCATGATTTCTTTTTCAGGTGTGTATGTGAGTCGTTACTCAGATATAATTAGACCTGTGCTGTTTGTGCCAAACGCTCATAAACATTTCATAGTTATCTTCAGAACAATGAAGGTAAGTTTGGGAAAAGTATTGTAATTGTTTATTCTTAAAATTATTACCACCACAAGTGGTTTATGCAACAAGGTTTTATGCAAAAAAAATATATTGTTATATGTCTCTTTTTGTGTCAGAAAAATATTTTCTTGTTCAAATTTCATTTAGCTGATATAATAACATACATAAAAAAATAAGTATTTGAAATATTAATATCTGTTTAAAATGTCAGTTTTCTTTGACAAAAACTTGTATGCCCATATATAGTCATGATGTGCCTATATATGGTCATGGTGTGATGTCATCATGACCATATTTAGGCATGTCACATGTTTTTGTCAATAAAAGTTGATAGTCTGGACAGGACTTAAATTCTATTTTTCAATTTTATTGACTCAATACAGACTGTATATCTTTGAAAATCATATCAAATGGATTATTTTTTTGTTTTTAGGGCAAGGTGAAATCAATTCAAGAAAGCTATTCGGATAATGTATTGGAGCCGACCCCAAATTATGATTGTCACATCTCAAAGAATGCAAAGCAGCAAGTAGGCTTTGATGTCAATCAGGTAAGTAGCATATTAGTTAGTATATCCTGAAGAAATTTACAACTTACTAAAAAAAGCATTACTTTATTTCATTTTATTCAGGAATTAAAAATCACAAAATATTTCTTAAAATGCAAAAAAATAAAAATTTAAAAAAACAGAGAACAGAAATTAAGAACAAAATACATTTATTTCTAAGGTAACACAAAAAAGTTTTAAAATATAAAAAACTTTTTTTCCATTGGGGCCCTTTCAACTATTATGGCACAATAAGGTGTTTAATTAGGACACACACTGCACCAATGGTCGCCAGCCGTTGAGATTGCTTTTAAAAGTGCAACTCAAGAAGGTGTGCAACCTTTAACCTCCTGAATATATTATTGTTATTATTATTATTATTATAACCTACTCTGATTTCCTACTCTGCAGATATACTTTTATGAGTATGGTGATGAGGATATGGTTGCTAGGCCAAGACAAGTGTGTCCGTTTGCAGTTGTCAAGTTCACCATTAAAGAACACGAGAATAGCTTAAAAAAAGTGAACTCATCTTTCAATGTCAAAGAAACTGTCCCGTCTGTAAGATTTCCAAGCGCTTTGTCTGATAATTCAGAGGTCAAGGGGCAAATAGTGACAAAAGAAACTGCATTAGCTACTGAGGGAGCCACCCCCTCTAAAGAGCCAGGTAGAACTTGAAAGTATTATGATAATTCTAAAAGTATTATGATAATTCTATTTTATTGTTAGCTTCATCATGAACGGCAGTGATGTACAAACGACAAAACCATTAGTTATTTTCTACATTTCTATTTGTTTTTTAATAGGTTTTTTTTTTTTTTTTTTTTTTTTTGTAATTTAGTATGAAATTATTTGTTTAACTATTTTTGGACAGGGTACAATACTAATCAAATACTAATATGCTGATTATTAGCTGTGTAAAGAAATACTTACTCAGAAAGCTGAGTATGCATTTGATTGGCAATAAACCCTAGACCCTGTAGAGGAAAAAATCCTGACCCATCTATCTTAAATATCAAAAGCTTCTTTTGCTTTGCAACTTTGCTATTTTTTTAATTTTTTAATTTTTTTTATACACTTTCTGTGTGTCAAATAATTGAACAGTTGAGAATTTGAATAATTTAAATTTACCTTTAAATGCAGATGATGTCACCAGTCTTGGCTATAAAATATGGAAAGGCAAGTTGACCAACAGAAAGTGTCCTATTTGTACCATTGAACTTGTATCCATGAAATCACCAGTCACTCCACTCAAGTTGTAAGTATATCTTTTTCAGCATTCAGATTTTTAAATTTTCTATTAGAACATTTCTTTTTCTCATGTATTTCTATTTCACAAAATCACCCACCCTTAGTTTTCTTTTGCTACAACCCTGGATACATAGCATGTTAATATGTAAGCCTATATGTGAATTTAGGCAAACACTAATATCAGAGCCAATACTCTAAAAAAGTTTTGTGCATGCACAGCATCCTTCAGCATGCTCTTAACTTATACAAAACTTACTTATTCGACGTATGCCAGCGTATTCGCCATTTTTTTCCTACGTCGGCATGCGCTGGCTAAATCTTCACCGTGTGACAGGGCCATTAACAAAGACGAACAGACGAATAGAAAACTGGTAAAATATTTGACAAAACAAAATGGCTGTGTAGTTACTACGATACACACTAGAGCAATCAAGGTTGCTTCGGTTTGTGGCATTAGAGGTTTTTTTGTAAAAAAATTTGTTCAGTTTTTGAATTTTGTTAGCCTACATTTTTTTTTGTCTTTATATTGGTAAATATTATAATTATTATTTCTCGAAATTTAATCTAAGTTATATTAACGCAAATGTTGTGGCTAAAGTGACCAATCGACCATGTTGGTTTTTGGTCACATGGATAACTTATTGCAAATTAACACTAATTTCCGTTGTCGACGAAGTCTATTTTACAAACCATTTGAATGAAAATAATACTCAATGAAATATCATTTTCAACAAAATGAAACAGTCGGCCATTATTTGTTTACATCTTTCAGGCCTAACTACTTAGATTTGACTATGAAAATGCCAATTAAAAGGCTCAAACACAGGTTGACTGAGAAAATATTCAACATCTCAACACAACCTCTGAACTTAGAAGAAGGTAAGACTTAATTTCCACTAGTTTATGTTCTATGTAGGCCTATATTGCATTTGTTCATTTTGTTTTAAGTATCTTTATAATGAAATAGATAAAATATAATTAACTACATTTTAGTAAAACTGTATTACAACAGCAGGGTATAGTTATACATTTTTTTACTTGATATACTTAAATCAATTATTTGATTTTTGTCAGTGTTTGTGAATGGCCGATACTACATAAGCTGTGTCTGCAGAGTAGGTTATGATGACAAGGCAAGGATCGCACACCTAGTAGCTTACCTTCAAAAACGCAAAATTGTAAGTGTTTAATAATTCATTGTGTAAATAGTTTCATTTAAAAAAAATCTTATCTCATCCAAACTGAACGTTTTCCCCACGCATGTGATACATATGTTAATATGCTAGTATATGCTTTGTAAAAGTTTATCAGGCTTTATAAAAATTATACTATATTTCATTCTTCATAAGTTATATAGCTTTTTATTTGAATGAACGGTTTTACTTGCCTGCTATTGTTAATTTACTCAATCTTGCCATCTTTTTTGCATTATCTCAAAACACTCATTACAGTGCAATAACTAATGGACAATATTTCCTTCCTTATGCTTTTAACTTACTTTGAAACTACCTTCCAAAGAATGTGACTTCCTTGTATACAGGCTTAAGCTCTGTCCAAATTTTCATTTGTATGCCCATATATAGTCATGATGTGTCTTTATATGGTCATGAAGTGATGTCATCATGACCATATTTAGGCATGTCTGGACAGGGCTTTAGAATCGATTTGTGTTCAGGGGCGGATTGCTATAAAACGGTCTTAACTGGTAGTCTTAACTCCTCGAATAAAGCTGGCTTTATCTCTTAGACGGTCTTACTAAAGTCATTCTTCTAAGACCATTGCTATAAAACGGTCTTCCCCAAGACCGTTTTGAGTATTGAAACGCAAACAAGCACTCCTTGGTAACGTAAGATTGAGGGCGACCTCACGCATGCTCGATGCACGCAAATGTATCGAGATGAATGTAAATAAACGCCGTAGACCTATTTTTACAGACGCTAAAAAGTGTGCGGAGTATTCGTCGTTCGATTCTCCGAATTTGACGATCTAGACCTAGGTCTTGCCATTGCACTGTTGAATTAATCAGCATTAAACGCCATGGTGAAAATGATTTAAGACCGTTTTAAGCCTCCTCCGAGTAGGCTTTCAAATTTAAGACGGCTAACTGGTTAGACCGCGGTATAGCAATGGTCTATAATCATAGACCAGTAGTAACGTCACGATTATAGCCGGCTAACTGTTAAGAATGTCTAAAAACCGCTTATAGCAATCTGCCCCTGGTGGTTATTCACATGCATTGAGCTTTAAACCTTTAGCCTGTGTGCATGTTAAAGAATGTAGCACACTCTTTGGACAAATGCAGGGGACTGACTCCCAGTGTACTGCCAAATTAACTACCAGACTGACCCCACTTGAAATTAGTCTCATAAGTTTTTCTTGGTTTCTTTTGTTAAAAAAAAATCCAATTCAATTTAGTTAGAAATTGATGCCGTATATATTTGATTATTTATTATTGATTGATGTGTTTTTTTTTTTTTTCAAGGCTACCATTGTAAAACTGCAAGAGAATAGAGAGCTGTTCTTTTATACTTCGGACAAAGAGCCAACATGCAGTAATCTGTACTGCCTCTTCTCATCTAAGGCACCAATGCTCAGCCCATTGAAAGGTACATACAACACTCTCTAATATTCATGGCATATGTGACCGGTTCTGGCAAAACCCTCTGTCGCAATTTCCAATTTCTAATTTTCCACAAGCACCTAAAATGTTTGAGAATCGGAATATTGGACATTATCATGTTTTTACATTTTATAAAAGAAGATATATTGAAGAACATTTCTGAAAAATATGAATCACTAAATCTAACTGAAAAATAAATAAATAAAATCAATTTTAATATTGATGTATCTTATGACAAAACTATGATAAATACATATGGAACGAACATTAGACACACGATAATATATGTGGAAGTGGTTTGGTGCAGCGGGTACGATTTTGTTTCCCAACCTTGACATCAGCGTTTTAATCCCTCGCTTTGCAATATACTTTTTTCCTTGGCAAGGCACTTCATCTGCATTACTTCTCTACACCCAGGAGTATAAGTGGGTACCTGAGGATTTCAAGTGTAAAATGCGCTGGTATATTTCATGCAGCAAACTATGGATTTCCCCTATAAGCATCGTTCCAATGACTGGGGAAATAATGTGGAAAAAGCGCTGATGAGACTTGTGTAGGACGCTATATAAAAACCTACATATTATTGTTATTATTATATGTTATTTATTTGATCTTTAACTTAAAAGAAAATTGAATATAAAAATAACCAGTACACTCAGTTAGTCAACAGTTACCTGAAAATGATAAAGATAATATGGTAAAAATTGTGTCCTTCATACTGATCATGTTGTCAGTCAGAAGTAGATGTAACACATGCAAACTGCATTTATATAATACTTTGTACAACAAACATTGTTATGTATAGACACATTTCTTTTAAATATTTTTATTATGATATATATGATTGTATACATTGAGACTTTACATAAATGCCTATGATTAGTTTAGATTGAACTTACACCTGTGGAATTAAATGTACAGAACTATGCAATAATGATTTTAAGGCTAGTTTTTACCTTTTATGCATAGATTGCGGAATTAAGTTTGACATGTGCGAGTCTGACCCTGTACCCCATGCTAGAAAGGCACCGGATGCCAAACCCTGCCTGTTTAAAATCTTCAGAGACCAATGTAAACACATCGAAGAGGTGAGGGCAAAGAAGGAAAAATTGAAGAAGCTATTGGATCAGATTCACACACCTTCTGCTGAAATGCATGGAAGGCCAGTACCACCACCACCACCAACCAAGACAGCAATCAGTAAAAGAGATCCAAGACTGTCAAAATCTTCATCTCCATCCGAACCGCCTACGAGTAGCACCTCCCAGGCAGATTCTGTCTTTCGCATTTCCCCAGGGAATTCAATTGATTCGTCACCGTCCATGTCACCTGTGGTTCCAGTCCCGGCATCTTGCACTCCCCCTTCCATCGACACCTCTGAGTATGGTACATTTGGAAGCGGTTGGGCAGAGTAAGTTTTTGGTTTCTTTGGGGAGTCTATTTGGGTTTCAGTAGCATGCTAATTACTAACATAAATATATATTGCATCTTGCATTGACATCTACATGCTACTGTACATGTGATAACTCTACATGTTCATGGCCTTTTAGCTCTTGCTGTTAACTCTTGTTTTGCTACAAAATAAGCTTGAGAAAAAAAAAAATAATACCATATAATTAAACTGTAGTAATAAAGTAAAAAAAAAAAAAAAAAAAAATACAATTACATACAAACAAAAGCACAAAATAGATGTAATACTGTACAAGAAATAACCACGGAATATAATATCATAATGGAAATTTTATCAAAAGATACCAGTTTGGCATTTATTATTTGTTTTATTGGATTTAAGTTTCAAAAGTAATATTGAGATAATCACTTAAATCAGTCAAACTAAATTTTTTTTTTTTAATTTTTTATCTCGGTGTCTTTGAATTCTTCGAAGTATAAAGGTGGGTGTTCTCATTGTTCATTGTTAGTTTAACTTAATGGCTAATTTTATCAAAACCTGGTGGGCATTTGAAGACGTGACACAATCTGCTGATTGCCTTTGCAGTCTGAGCGTATCATCGTTGAAAACAATTCTTGTGTTGCATTCTCCAGTCAGTGCTGTTTGTATATAAATAATGGTATTTTATTCAAAATTCAAAAATTCATAAAAAGCATAAAACATAGCAGCCAAAAAGGCTGGATTACGAATTATGTTACAACATCAAAATAGGAAATTTACATTAACATAACATAAATTGTTAAGATAAAACAAGAGAAAACAAAATTATAAATAATTACTATAGCAATTATTTGTTATTGTTATGATTATTAGATAATTATAAATGATTGCTACAGTAATTATTATTATTTTACTTATTATAATTTATATTAAATAATTGAATTTATTGCATCAAAACCATTAAAGAATTACAAATTACGCCTAACATCAATAACATCAAAAAGCATGAAACAAATCAGACATAATAGGAAATCAACATTAAAATTACAGAAAAAACATTTCACAAATTCACACCAAAAACACATTCAGAAAGAAAGTAGAAGCGTCAAAAAGGCAACATTCAAAATACAAGCATACACAAATTAGCAAACAGGAATTATAAATAATTACAATAGTAATTAATATTATTATTTAAAAAAAACAACAAAAAAACAAAAAAAACCTGGCTTCCCAGCTTGGAAAGCGAGTTTCTTAACTCCCAGGTGACAACTCCATTGATTGCTCTCTCTTTTGCTTGATATCTATTGCTTTGACGTGCTATATAAGGCAAAAAAAAAATTTCTTGTGTTGGCCACGTTTTGGGAAAATAAAAAAATGGGTAGGTCAGTAGGAAATTTTTTTTTTTTTTTTTTTTTTTTTCTAACCAAAAATGTGTTTATGCCTAAAAAGTATAAAATACACAAAAATACAACAAAGACCATTTTAAAGTCTATACTTAAAGCAAAAAAATTGCATAACACTGTCGCATTGCCTACCGTCCATTAAGATTATTCCAGCCTTTTTAGCTCCTTTAAAAAAATATATTTTTCATTATAGTCAAAATATTTTTAAAAAATGCCGAACCTCAACTTCCTTCACCAAGATCCATAAATGTCTGAGGAGTTAATATTTATGTAAATAATAAATTAATTTTATAGCAATAATTTTACATATAAATGATGGCTTTAATTGTTTGTAACCCCCTATTGCATAGCATTGTTTAATATATGTTACTTCTAATCCATAAATGCTCTTTTTTGCTTGAGATTCCATTTGATTTGCACCCCTCTGATATTGTATTGTACTGTGTGCTTTTGATATCTGTGGATGTTCTTATTGTGAGTTTTTTTTCTACAGCATGTCCTACATATACATCCCATTTAAAATGTGGAATGGACAACAAATGAAAGATTACTATTCCTGTTATGCTGTGCCATATTTGGTGCGGTATTTTGGCTTGGTAGACTCAACAGCTAAGAATCTCTCTAGGTAACTTTTCTTCCTGAATCATCTGTGTCATGGGAAAAGGAGATGCTTTTGTTGCACTAATCAAAATGTTTCAAATGCTTGCCTGATCATGAACACGTATTTAAAGCAATGAGCAGAATATGTGCTGTTCTCAACCATCTGTCTTGGTGCTCACAAAAAGACCAGTCAGTATTCTCACTAGCATTGTTCTTTAGCATTGTTCTTTAGCTTGTCTTTTTTAGTTGCACCCATAACAATTTTCATCTCAGATGTTTTATGGTTGCTGTATCATTTTTCAGCACTCTTATCGACATATCATCGACCCATTGTTCAAACCTAAGAAAGTTTTTGGTGCATAAGAGTCGTGTATAATGTGTTTACATAAATTCAGCTGTCAGGCATATTTGTTTGAAACATGTTCATACATAGCATTTGTTTCTAGCAATATTACTATGTAGTAATAGCTTTTTCACATGCATAATTTTGTTGTTTTGAAATGTTGGATTAATAACCAGTGGTTAGTGTTAGGTGCAGCCTCAGTTTTCACAAATCGGCATCAGTGCAGGCATGGGTGGTAATATTGAAATGGCCTTTTATGCTTTTAAGCCTGAGGTTATACTATAGCCTACCTGCACGGTCACCTAGCCTGAAAGAAAGTATAACCATTTCACAGCTTATCAAACAGAGCAAGATGGGGATGCATATAACCTCTTGGTTATGCCATGCAGCCACTCCTACTACTCTTTTTGTTTAATGAATTCAATGCATTTATTGTTACCTGTTTTTACCTGTATTTTACTATTTTCATGCTTTTTTTTTGTTTGCATATTCTTTGTTAATGCTATAATGCGATGATTCACCTTCATTATTTTCAGTTTTTGTTACTTGTCATCTTTGTACTTCCTTTCTTTTTGTTTTGGATACAAAGTGCTTTCAAGTCTGTTATCACTGTTGTGGATTATAGTATATTTGCAATAATGTTTCTGTAACACTAACAGTCAGTTTTTGTTCAGGCAAGAGGAACATGTTAAAGTCGCAAATACCAAGTATTACAGTACTATTCTTTCATTTATTCATTCATTCATTTGTCCATTCATTCATTTGTTCGTTCATTTAATATACTTTCATCATTCATCCAATCCTCCATTAATTCATTCATTCATCCATTAATTAATTAATTAATTCATTCATTCATTCATTCATACATTCATTCATTCATTCATACATTCATTCATTCATTCATTCATACATTCATTCATTCATTCATTCATACATTCATTCATTCATTCATTCATTCATTCATTCTTAATTAATTACTTCATTCATTCATTTCAAAAATTGCCATAATAAAATTTACATTAGATAGTATAATACATACTCCAAGTATCAAAATGTACACCATTGTGTCGGGATTCAATATTTGGACATTAATTATGCCATCAGGAATTTACATTCTTCATCTTTAATTCTTTGTACTTGTTACCTGTCACATTGCAGTTTTGGATACAAAGTGCATAAGTCGGTAGTTGCTGATGCATGTTTTGATGTATTTTCAATAATGATTCTATAGCAGACAGTTTTTGTTTATGCAGAAAGAAAGTGTAAAATTTGTTAGCAAAGTCTTACTATTCACTCATTCATTCATACTTGCATCCATTCATTCATCCATTTATTCATTCATTCATCCATCGATCCATTCATTCATCCATCCATTCATGCAACCATCCATCTATCCATCCATCCATCCATTCATCCATCCATATCCATTCATTCATCCATTTGTTCATGCATTTATTCATCCATTTGATCATTCTGTTATTCATTTGTTTATTCATCTTTTTATTCATTTATTTATTCATTCATTCATTCATGCATGCATTCATTCTCCATATAATGCTTAAATATTCAATTTATAGATATTACTATGCGATCAACGAAATCAAATGGACAATTTCAACTTTAACCCAAATATGACAAGATCACTGAGCCTTATTTTGTGTAACATCATTGAGGATATGTAAAAATTACTTTTATGGTGTCATGTTGGAGAGGCCTTTACTCTGCAGTAGGTCAACAGAGGCTGATGCAAGTGATGAGTGGTGATGAAGTGGTGTTTTTGGTGGGGAATAGTTGCTGTTTTTGTAATGGTGATGACAATGGTAATGATGAAGATATGACAATATCAATCAAATATTATACAATGTCAGACTTCTCAAGAACTATAACAAACTTACATAGTTGCTTCAGAAATTTTGCCTAAACGCAGGCTTACAGAAATATACAAAAATACTATGGAATTTTTTCATTGGCCTAGTAACATAAATATATAGGTCTAAAGTCCAGAACAAATTACTTTTCCATCAGAGTCTGGTTACATTGTCCCTAGACAACTCATACTTGTCAGATTACTGATAAATTATTTTGAAAACAAAGAAAAAGTGGCCCATCATAAATCTTTGTCCTGTTCCATGTCTTTGAATTCTACAGCTGTTATTATCCTGTACCTGTGATTTAAGCAAATTATTAGGTGCTACGGAAATTTTATATTTACTACAGTACGAATATTTGAAGTCGGTTACTGAGATGCATTTGACTAACTTGAGAAATTGCAATGTTAGGTGTTTTCACAAACTTCGAAAAAGTGACAAGATGTTATAACATGTTTGTTTATATAGTTATATTTATATAAAACTATATAAACAAAAATGTTTGTTTATATAGTTATATCTATAATTTTTTAAATTTTATTTACTGAGTTTATTCTTTATTAAAAAGCAACTAATTGTTTAATATAACGTTTAGTTCACAAGGTGTATGATCTCTAACAACCGTGTTTATTGATTAGCCAACAACTGCTATCTTAGTTTGTGTTCTCTGATGCATGCCTCTGTTTACCAGCAATCGTTTAACTAACAGTGGGCACCCACAGTGTTTGTGTCCTTAGGCAATAAATTTTTTTTCTATGTTGTCTTATAGCTAGTAGGGGTCGTTCAACATTATCAACATTTTCACAAGTGTAAAAACAGTACGCTAGGGGGAGGGGGTAGACAAATTTGTACACTTTTGCATATGCATGAAAATGTTGATTCAAAATTGCACTTAATGTGTTTGCATTTTTATGACTAATTATAATAGAACCATATATATAATAGACATTTTTAAGCAACCAAGTACAGTACTTTAGTTGATTTCACAAAAAAAAAATGAGAATGGTTTTGCAAAATCAACATTTTTATGTACACTTTCAGAGGGGAGGGAGGGGGTACCGAAAAAGAGTACTGTTTGTACACTTGTGAAAATGTTATTGTGAACAACCCCTTAATCCTGTAGACAGATAAGAGTGAAAGCTTTTTTAATTAGTTTTTTTTATTAACTGGTCTTTCTTTGTTATCCAGGGAAAAAGCACCAAAACGTGACACTGGTAAAAATGCAAATGAAAGGATTCAAGAACTACAAGAACAGCTGAATGCATTGCGGAAAGCCAGAGAAGAGTTAGAATATTCAAACCATCAACTATTACAACCAGTGCAGGTTAATCCACAGATGGTTGTAGAGCAACAACAGGAATGCCAGGTTTGTATAAAACCTGCGAAAATTAATGTTGTGTATACATGATTTTAGATGAAGTGATTAGAGTTTAAAATTTAATGGCCTGCATAATATGGTTTTGGTTAATGAATCATTTTTTAAATTAGTTTATTTTTATATTTTATTTAGGAACAAAGACCCGTATCTCATTTGGTGACATCACAGCAACCTAATAATGAAACTATACAGAGTGAAGGAATTCCTCCTACAACACCAGTGAAGCCTAGCCAATCTGCACATGATGATGACTTGATGTCGCCAGCAAGTCCAGAACCAACACTTGCAAATATTGGGTTTTTAGCTATTAATGCATCAAATACACCAGCACTGGATAGAAACATATTGGAAAAAGTAAAGCTTCCAGAAACTGTCTTTACAAAGTTAAAAGAAATAAGAAATGTCGAATGCCCTCCTCTAGCCCCAAATGGTAGCCAGTCATCTTGTTATGGTGATCATCCTGTTGATGCTGCTTTTGGTGCTTTTGATGACTTAAGTGTAGTTGGTACTGGTGCTGTCGTCAATGATTGTTTTACCACCGAAGGTGCTGTCAGTAAAAGTATTCTAAATGATACTTCTAGTGGTTTTGATGACTTTGGTGCTGCCAACAATTATTTTACTACTTCTGGTACTGTCAATCATAGTGATACAGTTACTGTATCATATTCTATCAATGAAGAGTTCACAAATTTTCCAACACAATCATCATCAACTTTACAGAAAGATTTTACCAATAGTTCAAATGATTCCTCATTTATCAAGTCTAAGACTGGCTACAGTGAGACTTTTATGGAATTTATATCACAGCAAACTAAAGATGATGCCTTACCGAGTGAGAGAAGTTCATTAACTACAACTCCTACTTGTCAATCATTTCCTTCATTTTCAAATCAAGACTGTTTGAAACCTTCTTCAGCTTCACATTCAGCAGGTACTTGTGCTTCAGAAGATCTTCAAACTAAATTTAGTGCTGCAGATTCCTCTTTCTGTGAAAATACTGTTTTAGATGTACTGTCAAATGAGCTTGCTATGTCAACATCTACCAGTGAAAGGATATTGCCAAAGCCTGAGTGCATTCCTGATGAATCCTTAAATACCATTTCTGCTACAGCGTCTGAATTTAATAATAATGATTTTGAAAACTTGGTTTCTTTACCACACCTGATTGTCTCATATCCCCTTTCAAAACTAGATGAAGTTGACAACACAGTTACAGATAATTTAGAAGGATCGTTGAATGATAAGAAAAGAAGCCGAAATACCACAAGAGATCCAGAGCTTTCAAGTAAAAAGATTAAAACATGTGTAAATGTGGATAATAGAGATGAAGGTAAGTTGGAGACTGCTTTTAGAAAGAAAAGTTACAAAAAAGACACTAAAGGTGGAAAGCCATCATATTGTAAAAGAAAAAGAAACTTGTCTGAAAATGATGTTCAGAAACAAGGTTCAAGCCAAAAGATTAAAAATTGTGAATACACACGATCAAGGTCATTGATGAAAGATGAAGTAAATCATGTACAGAAAGACAACACAGGAATGAAGTCAAAAGAACTCTTGGAAAGCTCAAAAGATTTGGTGACGTCTAGAGAAGTACCAGGAATAGCAATTCAGAGTAGTGATAGTGAACCTATTTCTGCAGCTTCAGATATGAAGGCATACCTAGACACTGCCACAAAGCTTCCAAGTGCCCGTCGGTGTGAAATGGAGCAAATGAAAGAGTTTCTTAATTTACACATTAGAAATAAATCTGGAGAAAGCAAGAAATCTAAATTCAAATCGGCCGTTCTTTCAAATTCAGAAAAACCACCAGGAAATAATGATAAAAGTAAGTAAATAACTTCTTACTATGATTTAATGACACTGTTGTATGTTTACTGTAGTGATTCCTTTTATAATTTGACTTAAAACAATTTTTTTGTCTTATTTCTGTAGAATTACAAAGAAGTTCCAGTCCAGATCGTAGCTACAGTTCTAAAAAACGTAGGCATCACTCAGCAATTGATGTAAAAGTATCCACATGCAGCGACGTCAACTTGAAGGTCAATAGAACTACTGATGAATGCAGTAAGACAGAAGCTGATACATCATTAAGAGTCAATAGTCATGTTGTGCGAAAGGACATAATATGTCAAAAGAAAATAGGACCTGATGAAGTTTGGAAAAATAAAAAATTTCCTGCTGGTAAGAAAGCCTGCCAAAACCTGAATGTACCGAAGAGAGACGCTGCAGACAATTATGAAGAACTCTGGCAAAACAGTACCGACATCCATGGTGAACAGTTAAGGAATACAGGACCAACAGAACTGAGTCATCTGTCTGATCAGAAGAGTTCAGGTTGGGAAAATGATGCTGACGAAGAAAAATGTAAACAAGTGGCAGAAATGCAGAAAGGAAACAACAAAAAACCAGGTAATAAACAAATTTTAGATTAAATATTGTAAATAGCTTTGATTTCAGTCATTCAGTCAATAATGTTGTGGGCCAGTGACGTCACGCTCAGGCGCTGTTATGGGCTAGTTATGAAAGTATATGATATATGTTTTGTTTATACTGTAGCTGAACTACAACATTATGAAACACTCCCCTAGAGACACCATAGTCAGTGTTCATAAGTGTTAAATGTAGAGACGGGAATAATGTGGAGATGTAGCTTGGTTAAGATGCTTTCTTACTTGTTAAATTCTTATTGTGATAATATATTTTCATAAAAATATGTCTTTACAGTTTCACAGAGAAGTTCCAGTCCAGATCGCTGGAGTTCTAAAAAACGTAGGCATCATTCAGCAACCATTGAAAGGGAAACTACAAGCAAAAGCATTAGCAAGGGAGACAGAACTATTGATAAATTCAGCAAAACAGAATTTGATAGAATTAAGAGAAGCAAAAGTAATGTGGAATATGAGGGGAAAATTAGTGAAATAAAAACAAGACCTGCCAGTAAGGAACCATGCTATAACGTCAATGTTATGAAAAAAGACATTTCAGAGAATCATCACACCTCAAGTGAAAGTCAAGAACCTCGACAAAACAGTACACACCTCCAGGATGAACAATTTGTAAATGATAATTCAACAAAACTGAATCATCAATCTGTTCATAAGAGGTCATGTTCGGAAGAAGATCATGAAGAAAACTCTAAACTTGAAAAGCAGATCCAACGAAATAACAGAAGACCAAGTATTAAGGAATGGAAAAGAAGGTCTTCTTCAGAAACCAGTAGCAATTACCAGCAAAAGGTTCACAAGCACAAATTTATTCCTACAATTAAAGACAACACAAAGTCCAATTCTAAAGAGAAAGGAAACAGGAAACAAAGAGATAGTATGTCCGGAAGTGAGTCTGGTGAAGACAAAAATATGCTACATTTTTGCAGTAAGCTCTACAATCTGAAGAACCCCCGACACAGACATGACAGCAGTAATGCAGGATCCAGCAGCAGCGATAGCGAAAGCATGAAGAAAGTACTTAAGACATTGCATCGAGTCAGGCAGAATGTGACGGTAAAGCGCAAGGGAAAAGATGATCTCACTGTGAATGTTACATGTGGAAAAGATCGTACCAACTGGTGGGAAGGAGCTGCTTCTAAGGAGGAAGAACTAACCAAATGTGTCCTCCACAGTATTCATAAAGACAGGTACAGTATGCATTTCAGTGCTTGCTTTTGTTTTGTAGTTCGTAAATTATGCTAAAAAATATGTGCATTAAATAAGAGTATGCTTAATGTTTAATTTTTGATTTTCTGTGTTGTGGGTAAAGCATGGCCATCCATGGACCCAGGAATTCATCTTCTCTCAGTGAAAACTCTTGATGTGATGGCAATTTTTGATTTGTCCGTAGCAGTTTGAATCGATCATTATTGAAAACAGTCCGTCGCACATCTCTCGTTTCCTTTTCAAAGTAATCACATAGAGACTAACTTTGCGCAGTGTATGTCCAGTTAATGCAAACTGGATACCAGCATCATGCTCATATTCTTTGCCTATGTGTATGCTTTAGTGGCGTGTCATATGCCGCTACAAATACAGTTGTACTGTAGTTAGCAGTGAACATGCTTTTTAAAATATTAGAACACATTTTAAAATTCTTCGACCAATTATTTTAAAATATATTTACAAAAAAGAATAAGATAGAAATCAAGTTTTTCAAAATGCAAGTAAAACAACTTCTAATGTTTTGAAACATCTAAAATGTTTAATGTTTGTATGTCTTTGTTAAGTTTACGCCCACTGAACATCCAGGTTCCTCGCCGCTCGCTGCTTAATGGTAGCATACGTCGTATCAGGAAAAGGCGGAAAAGGTACAACCTCGCTTAAATTACATGGTGTATCTTTTCCCATGATCTCATCCTGGCCAACTAGATAATTGAAACGTAAAGTACATTCTTAATTTGTAGAGAGTATCTCAAACCATTACTTTTAGTCATTGAAGCTTGAGCTCAGTTGTTCATGACAGTAAATTCTTTATTTCATTGCAGTGCTTATATGAAAATGTGCTTATAATCACATAATTTTATGTCATAGACACATTTGTTATGTAACTCTTCATTTGCAAATCAAATATTTAGTAATTTGCAAGCACCATGTAAAACATACTGTCTATGCTGCTTTTTGATTACATTCTGCAACACAACACATGCAACCTTAATCGATCACATCAGTATACTGTACAGTATATGAAATCTCTAACAGACAACCTTTCATATCAGCACACATCTCTATCGAACAGACTCAACAGCAATCACCTCAATATTTAGTATCAATGTACTCGGCAGAGACCACATTAACACATGCATTCTCCCACAGACTCAACAGCAATCACCTTCTCATGCAGACTCAAAAGAGATCACATCACACATGCATTCTGCCAAAGACTGAACAGTGATCACCTTCTGATGCAGACTCAGCAGTGATCATATCAACACATGCATTCTCCCAAAGAAACATTGATCACCTTCTCACATGGCCTCATTTACAGACTCAACCACGATCACATCAGCATGCAGTCTTAGTCTGTCAAGCTCAGCAGTAATCACATCAATACATTCATCTTCTATTTAAAAGACTTAACATCAAATCGATTGTATCAGCACATGTCTCCTCTTAAAGAATCAAAAGCGATCACTTCAGCAAATGCATCCTCAATCTAGTGATCACATTAGCTCATATCCTAAGATTGAAAAGCAAGCATTTCAACCAACTACTCCCAACTAACATTCTTTTGGATCACTACATGCACACATGTACATATGTACAATATTTCAAATTTTTAACCAGTACTTGAGGTAAATATTTGTGAGGATCCATAATATATTCATTTGTATGTAAGGCATTAAAACCAGGATGAATGAACTTTCCACTAAACCCCGCTTCCTGGATATTGTTGCTAAGGTCCCATGAAAGAACAGTGTAATACTGTAATATATGCAAACACGTGTGGGACAGCACGTGTGTTTGAGACACAAGTGTGTGTTCCTGTTGCTATGGGGATTGGACAGTTATTAAGTTTGATTGACTCTCTGGAAAGGTTCATTGTATTCCGAACTTCTCTGATAAGCAGAGGGATACAGAGGGATTTCTGTGGTTCGACCAGCTACCCCTCCTACCCCATCTTTTTGAGCAATCACCATTCTTGCATAAAAATTTATCAAAATGACCATAAAATTCACTGTTTTCATTCTAGAATGAAGTTTAAAGGAAATTTTCCCCCTGACTCAAAAACAGTTAATCACTTGTCCTACTAGAGTGCTTCAGGTACCACATGGAATTCTGGTTCTCAGAGATATTATCACCCCCACATCCCCCACCCACTTAAGGAATAAGGTATACTCTCTCTCCGTTGATCTGATAAAAATGTTGAATTGCTTAATGGTAATTAAATCATTCAATTGAAAATTATATCAAAGACTTTCCTCATGATAAACAGATATAATAATACTATTCCTTACATATACAAAATCTTTTTTTTTTAATGAAAATACTGTATACTTTATGTATTCTTTATCAGGAATAGCAATCCAAAGTCACTTGATCTGTCACACAGTCTAATTCAAGGCATACTTGCCTCTGTTCATCATAAAAAATATTTGTCAACACGCAACAAGGTCAACACTAGGAAGAAGGTAAATCAAATGAATTTTTTGTTTTTTTCTCTGATTGTTATGAGTGACTTTATACTGTCTTGTACACACAGATACATTTCTTTATGTACTGGTTATTTTTAAATCAGGTTGTGGAAGTTTGTTCATCAGCAGAGAGTCCAGCACAAAAGAAGACTTTCTCAGAGACAGAAGATGACTTGCTGTTTGAGGATGAAGAGATAATTGGAAATAAAAGAACATTTGAAACCGGTTCATTCAGAGAAAAATGTAAACAATTATACAAATTATATAGCTATGAATTTCCCTCAGTGCCACTGGGTACCAATAAAAAAAGTACTCAAACTACAACCCACAATGAAGTGAAATTTGACCCTAAAAACATGAATATTGCAGTCAAAACTACTGATGCTACTAAAAAGGATGTTTTGTTGTCTGACGATTATGGTAAAACATGGTTTTCAAAACAGAATGATTCTGGTGATAAAGATTCTTGCAGACCATCTAGCAACAAACAGGAAAAGACTGATTCCAAGGGATTTAGTTCTGAAAGAAAAGTAAGTGTTGTGAAGGATTCGGACAGTTTATCAAAGTCATCATGCTTTCCACAAAAGTCAAAACCCATCAAACTAAACTTGACAAAATCAAGTTCAATATTTGGAAGCAAAGAAAAACCTACACACATAAATATGCCAGAAGTGAAGGTTTCCAATAGGAAGGTTGAGGTAGTTCCTGAAGGAGCACCAATTCCTGTTATTGGTGCCCCACCTATTAATCCGGAATGTGCTAGCTCAAGATCTGAGGGCAAACAGATAGAGAGTCGTATCTCAAACCGCTTTCATCCCTTCAGTCGGTCAAAGGAAGTCTCACCAGCAAACATCCACAACTTGACGGTTCCAGAAATACAAGTTCTACCAGCTGATACTTCGCTTCCTAATGACCAACAGGAAGCACGTCTTGACACTTGCACTGGAAAGCTCAATCCGGAAGGGTTTAAAACACCACTACAAGGTGTATGTAAAATCAACAAGCAACCAACATTTGTAGATGTTGAGAGTAAAGGCACTCTTGATGAATCTGGAAAACAGAAAATTGATGCTTTGAAGGTACTAAGTGATCTTGACCGAACTCAGTCATCAGTGAGTGAAGAGATGAATCAAGCTATTGGGAAGCTTAATACAGCAGGATGCATTCAGCAGGTGAGTGTCGAGCAAAGTATTAAATATTATGACTGTTAAGCAGTATTTGCAATGGGTTAATTGAGCAGGATGAAGGGTAATTTTACCTTTGGTTAAATTGTACTGCTGTTTGCAATTTCAATGCAATTCAATTGATTCAATGATTATACATTCTGTGAAAACGTAAGTAGGCATTCAGACTGAAAAACAATCTGGTTATTCTTCCTGGGCAAAGTTCACATGTTTAACCTGGCTGCATGTCTTGTGAAATTTGACCAAGGATAATGTAACGGAGGTTGCTTTACTTTGAACATTGGAAGTTGATAACCTTATTTGACATTCCTGAAAGGGAAATTCAATATTTTTAAAGAATTTTCAAACTAGTTTTTTTTTTATAATTAAGTCACAGATAGTATTTCAATATTTTTTCTATACTTTCTATGGTAATATTTTTTGAGGAGGCCCTTTTCAAATCAGTTTGCAGTATAGAGTCCCTTTTATTTATTTCTTAATATTTATAAATTACCATGATAGGTAATAGTGCTACATAGGTTTGTGATGCATGGTTTATGTAAATGCTTGGGCCTATTTTTGTATCTAACCTAAAATTTAGACTGTATAACCATTTGTACTTGTAGGTTACCACAGCTGTGTCTGGCTTGACCAATAACAACAGCTCCATCTCTCAAAGTCATCGCGACCCATGTAACCTTCAGGATACCAGGTAAGGTGTGACTCGTTAACACCTGCCTCGTTAATACCATCAGCTTAATCTATTCATTAAAATATAAAAATTACCTCCTAACTGCATGCTATACCTGCCAAAATTACCTCACATATCATATTTATATTCCAAGCATGTCTCCCACTTATTACAGCCAAGCATGACAGCCATTCACGCATGATAGCTGTTTCAATAATCTTGAAGCTATAAAATTCCTCACCGGATGTTAACAAAACCTCCTAATATGCCAGGTTTAACACTTTGGCAGCTTCCGCTTTGTTTGCAAGTGCAGTCTAATTCAAACTACTGTACTCCAAATATTTTACACTCAAAGGTGATAATGGCAGGTATAGCATGGTACAGTTCTGATGTGTATAACACAGTAAAAAGTTTAATTTTTACATTAAACAAGTTTTATTTTTACATTACAAAATTTTTTATTTTTAAAATACAAAAATTTAATTTTTACATTAAAAAAGTTTAATTTTTACATTAAAATTTAGTCCAAAAAAGAATACAGTAGTTGTGTTCCCCAAGCGTTGTGAAAATTGTAATTGTTAGAGTTAGGTTGGGAATTATGAAATTGTCTAAGGTTAATAGCTAACCAACACTTAATAAAATTTAACTGGTAAAATAGTAACCGCCATTGTGAAATCCATGGTTAAGATATCAAATTAAGACTTAAAGTGTCTTTTTTAAACATAAGTGTTCAGGCTACTTGTGGAAACTTTTTTTTTTTAAATGGAGATTTCAATGATCTTGGGTCAGTCGGGATTGGGCAATTTATCATTTCACAGTTTTAACAGTTAAAGGCACAGAGCTCAACATCCCAGCTACAGTTTCCTGTTCCTTTTTTGGTGGGGGGAGGGGGGTGTTCACAACAATTTCAGAATAGATAAGTGAGTAGCACATAACATTGATATGCATTGAAATGTGCCCTCTACTAGATCTGCCCCTGCATATAGTGTATTTTTTAGAGATGTACTTATGTTAATTTTTTTTTATGCAGAATCAATTGTAAACAATTTTCAACATCCTCTGCAAAGTCAGCAGATCATTTCAAATTATTAACACCAGCTCTTCGTTAATAGATCTTGGTAGATTGAGAGAGAAAAAAACATATATAAGATGTCTCGCTTGCCCAAGGTCACAATTTCATCAACATTTGACTCGAACCCATGACCATTCATTCGGAGCTCCTGTACTGCTTTTATTACAATCCCTTAAGAACATTTTTAATAATCACATTTCAGAAATTTTTTATTGAAAAATATATAATTTAAAATTTTTACATTTGCTAGCATTCACTATTTTACATTATAAAAACACTGTTTTTTGTTGATTGATTGCAGTAAACGTAAATTGAAATTAATAATATAAAAAGATAAATAAAAATAAAAAAGATAATATTTCTGAAACTATATAGTTTCAAAAACAAATTTCCACTGCAGTATCAGATCATATTCATGGGTTTCTTTTTCCAACTACCTGTAGCCATGTTATCTATTGGTTGTTTTTATAATCTATTGTACTGCAATTCTTTATGAACCATTTTGTTTTCGTCTATGTTGCCTTTACTGATGTTATGTTTTTTTAAATGTCAATCCGCCTGAATACATGCCCCACTCCCCATGCTATTCCATTGCCATCTTCCAAATTTATTTATTCTTGTATTTACATTACAAATATTATTATCTATTGTTATTTTTATTTTGTTTATAAAATATTTATTATTAATGATTTGTAATGGTTTTAGCAGAATTATTTTTATAATTAGTGTTTTATTTGTTAGTAATAGTTATTAATATTATTTTATTTATTTTTAAATATTAAATCACCTCACCTATCCTCTTCGTGCCATGAGGCACATAAGGCCATATTACTATTAATTATTATTCCAACAGTTTGTAATAGTTTTGATATTTGTTTTATTAATATATGTTAGACAAAATATATAATCCTAAACTAATTAATTAAATAATCTAATAATCATTTGAAATACGCTGTATTTTACTTTGCTTTAAATTTCCAATATTGGAGGACAACAAATGGAAAAAATATTTTGAAAAAAATATAGGGATTCTAATTTGATAAATTTTAATTTATGCTTCAATTTCCTTGATTGTGTTAATGCAGATGTTTTTTTTGTAAATTATATACTTATTACATAACGCCATCTGTTTCAACACTCTACTGAAAAACTTATTTCCACAGAAGAATGTTTTAAAGGTTGCATACAATTTTTAAGTTGAAGGTATACCATATGACTCATTTATTCTTTAAACTTGTAGAAATGTTATTTTTTTACCCAAAAACCAGCACTTGGTGTAATGACCGCCTTATGCTGCATGTATTCTGCGCTTCGCAAAGTTCCTTCCCTTTGTATTTCTGTACTAACATTCGTTTAAAAACCCAAACAAGTTGAAAAAAATCTATAGCTATATCTTTAAAGTTTCATATTTTTAATCTTAGAAACGAAAATCATGTTTACTGGACCAATTTTTGGTAAAGTACCCTAGTATTTTATTATTTTGTTTATTATGCTTTAATAGTCTGGTTTATTAAAATAAGAAATGGTTCATTTTTAAATTTTGATGAAAATGTTATTAGACTTGCTATATTGGAACCTTGAATGCATGAGGGAATTTATTTTGTCAATTTTTCCAATTAATATTACTATTATTCCTTTTTGCATAAATTATATTCTAAATTTTTCTTGATTGTATGGTTCCTTTTAAGTTTTAAGTCTTGAATTTCCTTAAATTAATTTACTTTATCCTTTTGGTTTGAGAAATGTATTACTGTGGGTTTCTCTAAACAACATAACAATTCGTATGGAATTTACAACTGAAAGACACATTTCAATCTAAGCATAGAGTAAAGAAACAGAAGGAATTTTCCTGCATTTAGGTGTTTTTGCTAATGGTTGTTTACCACTAATTTGTTTGTGAAAGTACTTTCTTAATTTGTAAATCTAACACAATTTATACTCGGAAAGATACAAAACTACCTTGTTTGGTATTTCTTATCCTACTTTATGCTCATAAAAATAGCGCTAGTGGTATTGGAATTTTTGGAATCGCCACATTTATGTTATGGATTTTATGTTGGTTTGCTTGGTTTGCTTGTCGTGGTTGTGTTTATTTTTGAATTATTTTTTGCATATCTGTGTCCCTAATGAGTTGCTCCTAATTGTTGTTGGCATGTGCTATTTTTTCTCATGGTGCAACTCATGCAATTCACAAATTACATTATTCAGTAGTTTATGTAATAGTGCATGTTGATGATGTTTTTTACAATATGGATTGGTAGGGAAATATACATCAGTTTATGTGTATATCAGTTAATCAGGCCAATCAATCAATTCTCCACAAACTGATGTGCAGCTTCTTGTAACAAACAAAACAATAATGAAATAAGAAAAAAAACAATACAGTAAAAATATTGAATTATAGCATGTGGATTACCATGTCAAATCTACAGAATATTTGGAAAACAAACCCAACATTATTATTTTAATATTAATTTGTGTGACAAAATTGGAAAACATTTAATTAAATTATAAAATTACTCATAAAAATTAGTTATCAACTTCCAATGAGAGATCATTGTATATACAGTATTCAGTTTTTATTTTTTTTTTTCAGATTTATTACATATATTTTGCTATGAACATTTTAAAAATGATCACCAGCTCATTTATGAGAATAAAGGATAATATATTACAATTTTTATTCCAGTAAGGAAAATTTCTTGTTTGTAGTTAATAGCATTTTGCTTTAATATTTCAGTAACAAGAAAAATGATGAAGCGTCTGTCACAGGTCGTGTACAAGAACATGTGAGTGCCTGTGCACACGAGCACAAAACATGCACAACATTTTATTCAACGACAAATTTACAGTGTGTTGAACCACAAACAAGTTTTTTCAGTAATGTAGAGGGCAGGCTAGAACAGCGAATGAAAGTCACAATAAGTAACAGAGAGGAGAAAGAATGTAAAGGCAAACTGAGTTTACTAAGTACTGGAGAAAGGTGTATTGTTATGTTGCAAGATCATGACAAGTTCGAACTTGAGCGATGTGTAAAAATGTATAGTATTCACCCCAATGAGAAAAGGGAAGTAGTTATTAGTTTGCAGAAAAACTGCTGTAAGAATGATCACAAAGAAATAGATTTAGATAATGACAATCAACTTCATACAAAAAGGAAAGAAGCAACTTCAGAACTCTGTAGTATTAAGAATGATATAAAAAATGTACGTAAAAATAGTGAGGTTCAAAATGATGTAAAAATAGTAGCAAATTCACAGGTTGGTTGCAGTAAGCACAATCACAAAACAGATATAAATAAAATCCAACTTAGTGAGAAAAAGAGAAAAGTAAAATCAGTAATTAGTTGTTGTAATAATGATAACAATTGTAAAGACAGAATTAATGAAGGCATTCAGTTGCGTCCAAGAAAGAGAGCAACTTTAAATGTCAGTTGCAGTAAGAAAGGTCACAAAAGAACAGTTGTCGGAATTCAAATCAAAGAGGAAAAGAAGGAAGCAAACTCTGACATGAGTTGCAGTAATAAAGATCACAAAAGTAAAGGAAATAATAACAGTAACCTTCAAAACAAAGAAGTAAAGAAACAAGTAAATTCAGTTGTAAGTAAGGTCAGTTGCTCAAAGGATGATTGCAGTAAGAAAGGTCAAAAAAGAAAAGATGAAACAGTTGACGGAATTCAAATCAAAGAGGAAAAGAAGGAAGCAAATACTGAAATGAGTTGCAGTAATAAAGATCACAAACGAAAAGGAAATAATAACAATAACCTTCAAAACAAAGAAGTAAAGAAAAAAGTAAATTCAGTTGTAAGTAAGGTCAGTTGCTCAAAGGATGATTTGAAAAAAAGGAATAGAAATGACAAAATGAAATGCGAATTTGGTGCGAAAGAGAAGGAAGCGATTTCTAATGTCAGTAGTAGTAAAAATGATCACAAAAGAAATGATAAAAACAGCGGCATTCAACTCGGTGAAAAACAGAAAAAATTAACTTCAGAGAATAGTTGCAGTAAGAAGGACCACAAAATAAAAGATAAAAACAATGAGAAGCAAATCAATGCAAAAAAGAAAGAAGCAAGTTCAAAGGTCAGTTGCAGTATCAATGATAACGAAAGTAAAGATAATAAAATTCAAATGAATGCGAAAAAGAAGAGAGCGAATGCAGAGATTAGTTGCAATAAGGATGATCACAAAAAACAGGATGGAAGTAGTGAAAAGATTCAAATGAATGAAAGAAAAAAAGACAATTTGCCGAGGAGAGGCAGTAAGAATGATCACACAATAAAAGACAAAGATAGGGATAAAATTCAATTCAACAAGATAAAGGATGATTCAAACTTGCAAACAGCTGACAAGAAGAATGGCCAGAAAAAGAGAGAAAGCAGACATGATAAAAACTATTCTGATTCTGGTAAAAATTATCACGATAAAAAAAGTCGTAGTGATAGTAGGAGTCAGAATGCCAGTAGAAATTACGATTATAAACGTAAATTTTTTAAAAGTAGAATGCGTTACGGTAGTTATAAAATTGATCGTACTATATCACTCAGAAGTAAGACGTTCCTGAAGAATCAAAAACGCACAAATCCTAGAAACCAGCAATTTATGCCAATACGCAGGAACCAGAGACATATGGGAGGGAATTTTAGCAACCAGCAGTGCATGCCAATCCATAACAACCAGCAACAGATGGGAGGAAATCCCTCCAATCCTCAGTGCTTCCCAAACCATTGCAACCGGCAACATGTGGGAGGAAATCCTAGCGATCCTCAGTGTTTCAATAGCAACTGGCAACGGATGGAAAATTCTATAAACCAGCAATGCATGCCAGTACAAGACAACCAACAACATATGGGAGGGACTCATAACAATCAGCAATGCATGCCAGTGCATAGCAACCATCCACATATGCAAGAAACACCCAGCAACCAGCACTGTATGCCAATCCATAGCAACCAACAACAGACGGAGAATTCTAGAAACCAGCAATGCATGTCAGTACATGGCAACCAACAGCATATGGGAGAGACCCATAACAACCAGCAATGCTTGTCAGTGCATAACAACCATCCACATATGCAAGGAACACCCAGCAACCAGCAGTGTATGCCAATCCATAGCAACCAACAACAGACGGAGAATTCTAGAAACCAGCAATGCATGTCAGTACATGGCAACCAACAGCATATGGGAGAGACCCATAACAACCAGCAATGCTTGTCAGTGCATAACAACCATCCACATATGCAAGGAACACCCAGCAACCAGCAGTGTATGCCAATCCATAGCAACCGGCAACAGATGGAAAATTCCAGAAACCAACAAAACATGCCAGTACATGGTAACCAACAGCATATTGGAGAGACTCATAACAACCATAGTCACCATCCACATATGCAAGGAACACCCAGCAACCAGCAGTGTATGCAAATCCATAGCAACCAGCAGCAGATGGAAAATTCCAGAAACCAGCAATGCATGCCAGTACATGGCAACCAACAACATGTGGGAGGTGCAGCTCATAACCAGCAGTGCATACCAGTGCATAGCAACCATTCACGTATGCAAGAAATGCCCAGCAACCAGCAGTGTATGCCAATCCATAGCAACCGGCAACAGATGGAAAATTCCAGAAACCAACAACACATGCCAGTACATGGAAACCAACAGCATATGGGAGGGGCTCATGACAACCAGCAGCGCATACCATTGCATAGCAACCATTCACATATGCAAGAAATGCCCAGCAACCAGCAGTGTATGTCAATCCATAGCAACCGGCAACAGATGGAAAATTCCAGAAACCAACAACACATGCCAGTACATGGCAACCAACAACATATGGGAGGGGCTCATGACAACCAGCAGCGCATACCATTGCATAGTATGCAAGGAACACCCAGCAACCAGCAGTGTATGCCAATCCATAGCAACCAACAACAGACGGAGAATTCTAGAAACCAGCAATGCATGTCAGTACATGGCAACCAACAGCATATGGGAGAGACCCATAACAACCAGCAATGCTTGTCAGTGCATAACAACCATCCACATATGCAAGGAACACCCAGCAACCAGCAGTGTATGCCAATCCATAGCAACCGGCAACAGATGGGAAATTCCAGAAACCAACAACACATGCCAGTACATGGCAACCAACAACATATGGGAGGGGCTCATGACAACCAGCAGCGCATACCATTGCATAGCAACCATCCACATATGCATGAATTGCCCAGCAACCAGCAGTGTATGTCAATCCATAGCAACCAGCAGCAAATGGAAAATTCCAGAAACCAGCAATGCATGCCAGTACATGGCAACCAACAGCATATGGGAGGGGCTCATAGCAACCAGCAGCGCATACCATTACATAGCAACCATCCACATATGCAAGAATCTCCCAGCAACCAGCAGTGTATGCCAATCCATGGCAACCAGCAACATATGAATACTCCTAGGGACCGGCAGTTTATTTCGGAAAGAATTAACAACCAACATATGGGAATGCATAACCAACAGTGCATGCCTGTAGATCGAAACCAACAAACATTTGAAATCATGAGAAACCAACAAAGAAATGAAATAGTTAATCAACCATATATGCCTGGCATCCATCAAAATAATGATATGCATTTCAGCAATCAACATGGTGGAATACCTAGCAACCAGCAAAATATTGGAATGCTTAGCAACAGTCATGGTGGAAGGCAAAACAATCAAGAAGCTACGCAGCACAGGCAACACAATATTGCATTGCATAGCAGCGGTAAACAGGATAGAATGGTTAGCAACCAGCAGAATATGCTACATGATCAATATAATGTGGTGCAACATAGCAACAGCCGCAATGTAGGAGTTCCTAACAACCCACAAATTATGCAAGACAGACAACAATATATCGGGATGCATAGCAACAATGAAAATTACAGAATGTTTGGAAACCCGCAAAGTATAAAAAATATAGAGCTTCATCAAATGGAGATACATAGGAACCGTCAACAGAACGAAATGCATTTAATGCTTAGCAACCAGCAACATTTGCAATGCGGTCAACACAATATGGGGTTGAATAGCAACAATCAAAATAACAGGATGGTTAATAATGAACAGAATATTCAAATTGGTCAGCATACTATGGGAATGCATGGCGACAATCAATGTGGTGAAATGCTTGGTAACCAGCACTACATGCAATGCAACCAACATGGTATGGCAATGCATAGCAACAGCCAAAATGACAGAATGAGCCACCAGCAAAATGTACAATGCAACCAACAGGATATGGAGATAATTAGAAACATTCAAGAAGCCAGAATGCTTACCAACCAGCAGAATATGCAATGCGTTCAACACTTGATGCTGAATGGCAACATTCAAAATGGCAGAATGCTTAGCAACCAACAACAATTTGGAATGCATAGCAACCAACAACAGATGGAAATGTTTAACTAACAATTTAGGAGGCATAATGACCATTGCCATATTTAAGTGTGAATAAACCAGCAACCAGCAGAATAATCAGTGCAATCAACATTTGAGGTGAATGGCAACAATCAAAATGGTAGAATGCTTAGCAACCAACAGCAATTCAGGGTACATAGCAACCAACAACAGATAGAAATGTTTAACAATCAGCAATTCAGGAGGCATAATGTGAATAAACCAACAATCCATGTTCGTAAAGTTTATGTCTTATTATCAACAAATGGTGTTTTGTAGTTTTTCAATGACTTAAACAATTTAACAGTTGATTGTACATCATGATCATCTTAATCATTTAAAAGGCATATGCTACATATATTGGATTTATTTGGGGCTTAAAAATGCAGAAGGCTGATGGAATACAAACAAGCCAATTAGTGATGATGGCGTTAGATATTGCCTTTTCTACTTACTAAAAATATTACAGAGATGTGTTTATGCTTAATCACTTTGTTACTTATTGTTTGTGTTGTTACTGTTATTCTAATGTTTTGGTGTAATCATTGTAATGTGTTGTTTGTTAAACTTTTTGTTTATTAATATGTCGTTTTAATGCTGATACAATGTATACTAAAATTATTCTATAATATTTTTAATAATTATTATTGTACTTATATAGTGTTAGCATTAAAACTCCAGATTTTGTATTAAATTAAGAAACAAAATTGTATTAAAGTAAGAAAAATGTATTTGTTAGTATTAATAGACCTTTGCGGAGTGTCAATCAAACTTAACAACTGACTAATCAGAACAGCGCTAGGAATGCGCGCGCGTCTTACAAACACACGTGTTGTCCCACAAACGCACGTGTTCGCGTATGTTTTAACACTGCTGTCTTTGTGGGACCTAAGCAACATTATCCAAGGGGCGGAGCTTAGCGGAAAGGTCCATTCTAAAACTAATATCATACCTCTGGACAGATGAGCTTTAGCACCAGACGAATAATATTGTTATTATTTGTATGAAATACAAAGTATTTATAATACTATATCATATTTACTGAGAAAAAATTCACTTATTACAGTGAATGTGTGCTTCACAGGACCACACATTTTATATGAGAATTCTGTAGTTTCATACATAAATTAAATCTTATGTATATATACATATGTGTAGATAATAAATAGCAAGAAATGTGCAAGTGTATATATATATATATGTTAGTACATATATATATATATATATATACTAACATATATATATATGTACTAACATATATATACATTATTCTCTTATACACATCT